ACCCCAGGCCTTCAGAACAAGGCTTATGATGACAAGATTTTTCCCTTGGGGCCCCGCACAGTGTGGGGTTGCTATCATCACTAATGGCCTTGGATCCCTGGGGGCTATTTACACCCTTTGTACAAAGGAAGAGTTTAGAGAGGCAGGCCCCCTGTCCAAGGTCACCGTGTTCTCCTACCTGGAAGGAGGCAGCTTTAGCCGAGAGAGGACCCCCGCATGGGCCCGGTCGCTCCATGGGTGCTTCCCACCAGAGCTTCCCAGCCACTGGCCAGGAGGTAGCCAGGGACCTGGCACCTCTCATCCCTGGGCTTCCCGCTCCCTGACCGGCTGGGGCACGAAGTGACTCATAGGTGTGGGTACCCCTGCCAAGCCGGCCCTGGGCTGGGCCAGAGAGGGGAGGGGGAAGTTGGGGGGATTCCCAAGACCTCGTAGCCTTCTCCCACCCTGATATTGGGTAAGGCGGGGTGGGGAGTGTGCTGGGAGGCAGGTCTTCCCTGATAGGTCTCTGCTCTCATCCTGGGATCAGCCCAGGGATCTCTTGGCCTCCCTGGCTGTTTTCTGAGCACAGGACTAGTCAGGATCTCTCTGTGAGTTAAATAACAACTGGCGGAGGTTAAAGGTGAGCAGGCAGAACGGGGTGTGTAGGGAGGGGGCCCTTGGGAGACTTCCGGACCTTGGGGCTGGGCTTCCTGCTCAGTGGGGCTGGCTTTATCTGGCCTCTCTTATCACAGCCCACCCCTCTCCTTGCCTCTCCTTACCGTCATGGCCGTTTCCCTGGCCCTGCCAGGCTGGGATCCCTGGGGAGGGGGGATAGGACACGGGGTGCCCTTGACCTAAGGCGTCCAAGCCTGCCAGGGGGAGGGCTGTGTCACCAAATCATTTGATCAAAAAGAGGCCAGGACACAGACCCAGTCCTCGGCCTGCAGGGTGACATCGAGGGCCTGTCCAGACGAGCTGGCAAAGGCCGTTCCCATTTCCACAGCCTTTCCAGCCATCTGCCTGACCGCTGGCTGACTCACTCCTGCATTTGGGAGACTCCCAGGTGTCAGCCTGCCTCCGGATGGTGCCCCCACAAGGCCCTGCCCTCTGGGAGCATTTATTCCTGGCTCCGCACCTCTCTCCACAGATGGGGATGACACCACATCACCCCAGGGTGCAAGGCTGAAGGGGTTAGACCCACACCTGCCCGGCTAGTCCCAGCCTCCTCTCTGGGGTGTTCTATGGGGAGATCGGGGTGTGGGGAGAGCTCAGAGCCAGAAGCTCCAGGGTTTAGGGCCTGTTTTGGTTGTTTTAAAATACAGTCTAATTGCATGAGTAAAAATATTAATTCAGGAAATATAAGAAAACAAAGAGAAGCATAAAGGACAGAACCACCCCAAATAACCATGGATAATGTTTTAGTGTGATTGCTTCCATCACACTCCTGCAGAAGCAGGAGATATTTTGTAACCTGCTCTTTCCACCTGTTGTCTTTGTGTTGTTGTTGGTTATTTTAATATTTATTTTATTTATTTGGCTGTGCCAAGTCTTGGTTGTGGTACGTAGGATCTTTAGTTGCTGCATGTGGGATCTAGTTCCCTGACTAGGGATCGAACCCGGATCCCCTGAATCGGGAGCGTGGAGTCTTAGCCACTGGACCACCAGGGAAGTCCCAATCTACCTGTTGTCTTTGCAACGTCTTTCTGTCATAGTGTATATACTTCGTCCTTTCACGTGGCGGCCCAGCATCCCATCATAGGGCCGTGCTCTACCTGTGCTGCCCAGATCCTGGCCAGCAAGGCAGCATCGCCCATCAGCTTGTTAGAGGTGTCCCACCCAGACCTGTGAGTCGGGGATCGGACGTGCAGTGACTCTGCATGCTCTAACTTATTGAAGCTGATGGAGGTTTATGCTTTTCCACCTTTTCCACAGCAAGGCTGCCCTGAACATCATGGACACACTGGGTGGAGGTAGCAGAGAACAGGGTCTGAGGTCCTAGTCCTGGTGTGGCCACCGTACACTGGGCCACGTGGCTCTTCTGTGTACAGGACAAGAATCAACACGTGCCCTCTCTAGTGGGTCATTCCGTGACGTGCTGGCTCCCGTCTTAGAATATACAAGACCAGCTCCTTCCCTAATCCTCCTTTACCGTAGATTGCTGCTACTTCTTGTCTTTGGTCCCCTTCCTCCTGGTCTCCAGTGAGCCTACTCCTCTCGGCAGGGCTTCATCCAAAGCAATCCACCTAACGGCTCTTGCCAAAGTCATCACTGAGGTCAGCGTGGCTAAACCTGACGGTCAGTCTTCACCCCCATCTTCTTGGCCCATCGAGAGCACTTGTCTAGGCGATCACTCCCATGTCTCAAAAACACCCTCTGTCTCTTAGCTTCTGGTTCCTATGGTTTCTCTCTTGCTCTTTTTTTTTTTTTTTTGGCTGTGCCATGCAGCTTACAGGATCTTAGTTCCCTGACCAGGGATTGAACCCGGGGCCCCGGTAGTGAAAGTGAGGAGTCCCAAACACTGGACCGCCAGGGAATTCCCTCAGTGGTCTCTTACTTCATCTGTTGTTGTCCTAAAAACTCCCTGGCGACACTGAACACTGGAGTGTCCCAGTGGACCATGTCTCCCTACTGCGCTCTTCCCATGTGATCTCATCCTGCGTTGGGACTTTAAAAAACACCACGCTGGCAACTCCCAAAGGTGTGTTTAGACTCTGGGGGGCTCTGAACTATATATATAGTTCAGGTATATACCTGCCAACTCAACCTGGATGTCCATCTGTCAACCTCCAATTTACCATTGAAAAACCATGCTCCAGGGACTTCCCTGGTGGTCCAGTGGTTAAGACTCTGCCTTCCACTGCAGGTTGCACAGGTTCGATCCCTGGTCCCTGGTCGGGGAACTAAGATCCCACATGCATGTGGCGTGGCCAAAAGAAAAACAAAAACTGCCCGAAAACCACAATCCAGCCTGACCTGCTGCAGCCTTCTCTGTCTCAAGGATGGTAGCTCCATCCTCCTTCCAGCCAAAGCCCAGGACTCTCAACTCCTCATTCATTCAAACTCACATCCAATCTGAATGATTTGCCCTCACAATAACCTATACATCCAAGCACTCCTCACCACCAGCTTCATGACCAGCTTGGTCCAAGCCACCATCACCTTCTGCCCAGATTATTACAATAGCCCTAACCAATCTCCCTGCTTCCATCTTTACCTCCTTAGTTTTTCTCAACATAGTCACTGTTTTATTTTTTATTGGTATTTTTAAATTTTTTAAAATTTTTTATTGAAGTATAATTGAATCACAATGCTGTATTAATTACTGCTGTACAGCAAAATGGCTCAGTTATACATATATATATATATACATTCTTTTTCATATTCTTTTCCATTATGGTTGATCACAGGGTATTGAATATAGTTCCCTGTGCTATACAGTAGGACCTTGTTGTCTATCCATTCTGTATATACTAGTTTGCATCTGCTAATCCCAAACTCCCAATCCAACCCTCTCCCACCCCCGCCCCCTTGGCAACCACCAGTCTATTCTCTACGTCCCTGATTCTTTTTGTTTCATAGATAGGTTCATGTGTCTTCTTTTAGGTTCTACATGTAAGTGATAACATATGTACTTGTCTTTCTCTTCCTGACTTACTTCATGTAGTATGATAACCTCTAGTTGCATCCATGTTGCTGCAGATGGCATTTTGTTTTTTTTATGGCTGAGTAGTATTCCACTGTAGATTCGTACATCTTTATCCATTCATCTGTTGATGGACATTTAGATTGTTTCCGTGTCTTGGCTATTGTGAATAGTGCTGCTATGAACATAGGGGTGCATAGATCTTTTTGAATTATAGTTTTCTCCGGATATATGCCCAGCAGTGGGACTGCTGAATCATATGGTAATTCTATTTTTAGTTTTGAGGAATCTCCATACTGTTTCCCACCGTGAGTTTTTAAAAATCCTCAGATTGTGTCCCCCTCTGTAGAGAGTTCTCTGAAGGCTTCCTAGGCTCGGGGCTAGAATAGATTCTCCTTCAGAGCCTCCAGAAGGAAACAACCCTGCTGATGACACCTACAGGTTTCAGAAATTCACCTCCAGATCTGAGAAAATAAGTTTGTTATTTTAAGCCACCATGTTTGGCAGCCCCAAGAAACAAATACTAGTCAAGAATTTTTTTTACTTTCACTGGTCTTTTGTGATGCTGTGGTCTAAGTTAATACCTACAAGCAAAGGACAGTTGTGGTAAAAATGTTTTGCCAATGTTCCTTCCCAGGTCCCTCTAAGAGAACTCCCACCCCACAGAATGTAGAATTTGCCTCATACGTGGCTGTCCCCAACTTCAGACTCGCAGGAAATGTATCCCCCAGAATGTGCTGCTCCTCCAAGTGTCCCAGCTCTGAACCCTCACAATCCAATCTTCCACTATTCTGTCCTCCTGCCCACCTGCCACCCTAATCCAGGCTACTGCCACCTCCCCAAGCCCCTGGAGATCCTTCAGCTTCTCTGGTCATTTCTTCTCTTGCACCCTCTATTCAGCAGCCTGAGAAGTTTTGCAAGTTACAGATTTGACTCTTGTCATTCCACTGATTAGGAGCCTCTGCAGCTTCCCGTGCTCATGAGTCGAGTCTGAACATGTCTCAGCCACAGCAGACTGTGCCTCCACCCCCACGCTGCCCCCACCCCAGTCACCACTGCAGATGTAGCTCACAGCAGGCCATCTCCAGTTCCCTCATCAGCAGACTGAGCCCCATTTCTCATGTCTCCCCGCTTCCTTGGACACTGAGTGGAGAGGAGGAGCAAGGGAGCATCATGGTACCTGCCTGGTGGGGAGCATGATGGCAAATGTTCTGGAAGGTACTCAAGAGAAAAACAGAGAAGACAAAGTCCTCTGAAGGTATGTCATGGGACATGAACTGGGTCAAAGAAAAGAAACAAGACTTGACAGATCAAATCTCAAAGGTCAGCTACAGGGTTAAGAGCTGGGGGTCTGAACATAGCACAGAGCACACAGTCATTTACTGAAAAAGAGTCAACTTTAATCGTTACTGACCAATCTGCATCCAGGAATGTCTCTGAACAACTGAACAAACACGATAAAATTGTCCTATTGAAGAAACCAAGAGTTTCTGCCAGCCCCCAAGCTTCTGAGGGTTAGGCCAAGAGCAGCCCATTCCCAAGGCTGGTTCTGTCCCCAACGCCAGCTTCTCATCCCGTGAGAAGGGCTGGGGATGGGTGAGGGACCTGTCCCCTCTTCCCAGCATGCTGGGATCTCTTAGAAAGTCACCGGTGGGGTGCACCTTTCCTCCCATCTCATTCCTGTCCTAAGGTAAATGGAGACCCTCTGGGCATCACCCCAAAAGCCAGGGAACGAAGTGAGGCAGCCCAAGTGCCTTCCTGGACTCTCAGCCAAAGCTTTGTTCCAGTCTGCTCGGTTGGTTCCTGATGCCCAGGGTGGGGATTAAATAAAATATGCACTAGAGAAAAAACTCAAATGCCCCCAAATCTCCACAACACAAGTCACAGAGCAGAAGAAAAAATAAAACAACGGCCCTAATGAGAAGCAACAGCAGCTGGCCCTCAGAAGACACGTTCAAACTCCGTCTGGTTGGTAGTGGCGGGATTGCGGCTCTGGTTGGTGGACTGCTGGGTGATCTGGCTGCCCTTCCGGCGTGGTGGTGCCAGGTACTCAAACATGGACGTCAGGTGGGTGGATAGCATGCCCTTGAGGTCCGAGGGCATGGGGTCGGACCAGAAGAAGTCGTGGTTCAGGGCGTCATCACTGTCGATGCGCTGGGCGGGATCCAGCACCAGCAACTTGTCAATGAGGTCCAGTGCATAGGGGTCACGCACATAGGCCTTCAGCCTGTCTTTCACCTTCCGCTTCTGGCCCTTGACCAGGTCCAGTTTCTCAAATAGCTCATACTTGTCCACATTTGGCCACACCTGGGGTGGGAGGCATGGAAAAGAGGATTTAGTCAGTTCAGGGGGTATGTGGCTGGTCTACCGGTCAAGCACTTGAAGGGACTAAACATTCTCCATTCAGAAGCTCCCAGACCGCCCCTGGAGGGCAAACTTGACCCCTCCAAGGTGAAAGCAGCAGGAACAACATATTTGGCAAACACCAAGTACCGCGCTCTTTGATGCAAATTGTCTGGCGTATGTGCACCAAGCCTGATAGAACCACAGTTGTCTCACAGCAGAGCAGCTCAGCTCTGAAGTGAGGGGCTTAGATGCCCTCCCCAAAGCCACAGAACTAAAGGGATGCAGCCGAGACTTGAACAGTCTGTGTGGCTCTAAACAGCAGACCCCAACCAACCACCAGCAACCTCTCCAGAATGGAGCTTTTCCTCTATTCAGCACCCACCTCTCCCCTGCCAGGGAGACTTCTCTGCAGCCCGTGGGGCCCAGGGGCCCAGTCAGCCCGACTCCGTACCTCAGGAGTGATGGAGCCACAGAGCTGGCTGATGAGGGCAAGCTGGTGCTGTTCTGTGTTGCCCTGCATGATAGGGCTGCGGGTCCACATCTCTGCCATGATGCACCCAGCACCCCACAGGTCAATGGGGGGGCCGTAGTCCCGCTCCCCTGAGAAGAAGAGCACACCAGGAGGGCCCCTTGAGCCCAACAGCCTCCTGAGAGGCAATGCCCCCGGGGCCGGGGGCTCAAGAAGCCCTGGCAGCGGGGGGCTGAGGCCGGGTAAGTGCCCAGCCCCTGCTTCCCTCTGCCAGCTCGGGAGAGTCCTCACCGAGCAACAGCTCCGGGGGCCGGTACCAGAGCGTCACCACACGGTTGGTGTAGCGGTTGGGCTGGCTGTTCTTGGCCAGGCTGAAGGCCCGGGCCAGCCCAAAGTCTGCCAGCTTCAGAACTCCATCGCGGGTGATGAGCACATTAGCCGCCTTCATATCCCTGTGCAGGATCTGCAGGAAGCCCAAAGGTGAGGGTTCCCGAGGGTCCTTTAGCCACACCCACCCCACAGTGAGAGCAAAGGCCAGCCCAAGCCTTGGTCTCTCCTCCCCTACTCTGGCCCCCACCTTGTTCCTGTGGATGTAGTAGAGACCATTGAGCAACATCTGCATGACCCTCTTGATCTCAGACAGTGTGAACTTGACTAAGACGTTGCTCAGCAGCCCGGCAAGGTCATGCTCGCAGAAGTCAAACACCAGGTATATACTGCCTTTGCAGCGGTTATAGGGGGAAGCTGAGACCGGAAGAATGAGAGGGACAGAGAGGGACAAGAAAAAAATCAAAAATCTCATATGCAACTCACTTTCCCACAAGCAGCTCCTACCCTCTCCAACCTATGGACCCCTGGATATCCAGGTGCGAATTCCTTCACAGGTAAAATATTTTCTGAGCGCCTTCTCTGGGCTGGGTACTGCGGCAGGCCCCCAGGAGGCACCTGCTCTGATGAAAGGGCCAAAGAAAGCAGTCACACTTGGTACGTCTGGGTTAAGAAGAGGCAATGTAAGTGTGTCCAGTTCCAACTTTTGCAAACAAAACCTTAAGCAATAAGCCTCATTTCCTCCATCTGAAAATGGGGATGAGATCCGAACAACTTACCTTTGGTTCGACAGATCTCAATCAAGTTGACCACATTCTCGTGTTTTAGAAGCTGGAGGATCTTGATTTCCCGCAAGGCTGTAATGGGGAACTGGGTGGGAAAAAGACAGGAAAAGGTCAGAAGTGGGTGAGCGCACCACAGACCAAGGAACTGGCCAGGGAGTCCACAGGAAGGGTCAAAGGTTGGGAGACAGAGTAAGAGCGTAGGCTCTGAAATTAGCTGTCTCAAATGCCACATCTGTAAAATGGGTGTAACAGTCTGTACCCCTCAAGGAGCTGGTTTCAGACAACGAATTGAAATAGCGATACTTCACACAAACGCTCTATTACTAGTTATTAAATGCTCCACAGTTTCTCCAACCTTATAAGTTTTAGCTCTATGCCTGTGTTCAACTGTGAGATGGTTAACAAATACAAAAATAAAGAAACAAGTCTCTCGAAAGCTGAACCAGAGCTAAGGTGGAGTGGGGGGTGGAAGGCACTGTTGTTTTTCAAGTGAATACCAGTCACCCTTTTAAAGTCATTGCATATAACTTATTACTATTTTACATTCAACAAAATTAAACCCTAAAGAAAAAGTGCTCAAAGCCTTCCTAACTTCAGAAACCAAGGTGCACTCCGTGCAAGCATGGGCTCCCCCTCCTGCCACCAACCATATTCACCTACGAATAAACTATGAAGCGGCTTTAAAACATTTGAATTAAAAGATTTAACTTGGAAGTCAAATTCCCTGGAATATGGAAATTTCCAAACACGTAAACTGAACCTATACGTGAGAGTCCCAGAAGCAGCGGGGTGGAAACCCAACCTCACACCCAAGGGAGCTGGCCGACCTGCCCACCCCACCCGTACTCACCCCCTCCTTCTCATTCTCCATCAGCACCTTCTTCAGAGCCACTTTTTGGCCGGTCTTGCGATGCTTTGCCTTAAACACCTCCCTGCAGGCCGAGAGGGGGACCCAAGAGGACTCTTCAGGCCATTTCCGCAGGGCCCGCCCCTCCCCCACCAGAGGAGGACAGGAAAGGGAATCTGGGCGGGGCTGGGCCGGGTACCCAGGGCAATCGGCTACCCCACCACGCGGTGTCTTCGGTCCCTCTCCGAGCCTCTACCTCCTTCCCTCTGCCCCTTCTCCTCACCCGGGAGTCTCACGGAGAGATACCGTTCCACTCACATGCTCCTCTCTGCAACCCCTCCCTGCCCCCCATCAAGGGCCTCAAGCTCCTCCCCGCCAGCCGGCTCTGTCAGGCCCGGGCGGGCTGCGGCGCGGCCTAGCGAGACCACGGGACAAGTCTGTGCCTAAATGGCTTCCCGACCAACTGGGCCCGGGCCTGTGCGTCCCAACGTCTGCCCGGAGGGGTGCAGGCTCAGGGCTCCCGGTCCCTGGGGGCCAAGCCTTACCCGAAGGTGCCTTGGCCGATTTTAGCGAGCTTCTCATATTTGGACACCTCGTCACAAAAGGGGCATTCCACTGAGTCGTACTGCTTTGCCATGGCCGCCTCCAGTGCGCCGCCGCCACCTCCAGCCACCGCCGCCGTCGCTGCTCCCGCTCCCGCC